TTACAAGGCATAAGTAAAAGGCCTAGTAGACAGGATAATGATATGGGTTAAAATGGAAAGTGCTCGGTCCTTGAAAATTGGTTGCAGATTACGCACAACATCCATCAAAATTCAGCAGTTAATTTCTACAATGAATGAGTGGAAGCAACTCGGTCAAACAGTGATCTGAAATGTGCTTCATACTTGTGGCTTCTGATACAAGAAGTTTTAACTTTTCAAAAAAATAATTTAAATCCTTTAATCACAGTTACCTGTGGCAGTCTGTGATACATTTTCCATGCTGTTACATGCTACAGTTCGGCTTTTACTTCCCTGATTATGGCATTTGCGTGACGAAGCCGCTGCCTTCGGCAGATGCAAGAAAGCAGGACGGAACTGAAGGGGTCGTCAAGTGATTCGTCTGCTCATCAGAGATATTCACTCTTTTTTATTACTTGAGAGAGGAACGGTTTTGGTAATAATAACATCTCCGACTCAATAAAACAAAAAACGTGTCATTCTCAGCAATCGAGCAACCCATTTTCGCATTACACACTCCAAATGCAGCATATTCAAAGAGCTAGAGAGGTAACAGTTAAGCAAACTTTCGATAGAGCCAGCAAACAGCCTAAAAAGAAGCGAAAAGTGGAAAGAGGAAGAGCGAGAGGAACAGCAAAAGAAAAGATAAGGCAAAAACCTTTGATTTTCCATGCTACAGCAACTTTAAAGGATCTGTTTACTGTCTTCCTTCAATAGCTCCTTCATTTCAAGTTGATTATATTCATTCAAATATTAATTCTCATTACAAAACAAAAAGTTTTCTGATTTATTCTGGAAAAATGTAAATTTATGACAAAAATTAACCTCAGTCGCCTTTAATCGTTGTCTGTTCGTGCTCCATATGCATGCTCTTCATGGATATGCAGCATCCTGGCAAGTAAAAAATGGAGGTAGTAACTTCATGTGCCATACGTACCGGTATTAGCGCACAGAGAAGGAGAAAAGCAAAATGGGTCTATGACTGAAAACTAACTTCACTTGTTCATTAATTTCCAGTGTTTTCCTTTGAATCTGCTTTTCCTTTTCTTCTCGTGCCTTTCGCAGAGCTAACCGTACTAAAATGGTATCCACTTCACGCTGGTCTGGTTTCCTACTATCCAATTTCACCTGCAAGCATGCCGCATGACACAGCAAAGCTGTACTCACACCAAAGAACTTTG